CCCTTCCCAAAATCTGTATGTTGGAATGGGTACTTTGCAGCACCCTCTCACATATTATCTTTACTTACACACACGTCTTTGTACTAAAATCATCAAATGATTGTCATTTCTGTTAAAAGTTTGGAAAAACAGTTTCAATTTTAATTTAATTTTAGGAACAAAAACAAAAATTCTTCAAACTGACCATTGAATTTGCTTCCACACAATCTCGATGGAAGGAATGATGGCAATAGAAGACATAAAGGTCTCTGAGTCTTCGTTGATCTGAAATAGAAATGAATGTCTCGTTAAAGAAATCAATATCTCTCTGGGTTAAGATATCTCAAACCAAATATTATTACTGATTGAATTTCTGGGATGAGGAGTTATCATTATTTACACTATTTATATTCAAACTACTGTCTTCATGTTTGTTGTTGATATCACAACGTTTTAGCTGTTGTACCCTCTGGCCTTCATCAGGTGTATATTGATCTGCGTAAACTACAGGGAATTCTAAACCAAACCCTTTATTTAGCTTTTAAAAAATGACAAGCAGCAACAGTGTCAATATTAATCAACAAGGTTAGGGTTAAGTTTAAAGCTTTAGGTTCACTACAACAAATTGTCCTATGGGACAATAGCCTAGTGAATTAAAGTGTTGGGTTGTAAACTTGGTAACGTAGCAATGGATATTCATAGTATATTATTATTGTATTAAATTATATTATTATAATATATTATTCATAGTAGTGGATTAAAGTATTGGTTTGTAAATTTGGTGACAAACTAATCTCTGAGCAAGGCAGTATCTATTTGAACGCAGAGAGGAAACTGACGAGCAATAACCAAGTAGTTCAAAAATAACTAGATGAGATATTCCTAGACATGGAATGAGAACAGTCTATCCCCGTAGATTAAATAAAGGGTTCAGTTCAGAATTCCCTGTAGGTTACCCAGATTAATATACACCTGATGAAGGCTGGATCTCACAATAGCAATGATGAGGACAATAGTCCAAATGTAAATAATGTAAATACTAATACATTTATTCAAAAGGGAAGATGCTATAAATGGACTCAGAAAAGCCCAAATAATGAAACACAAAATTGACTTCATAATTGCTGACAAGTCAGCATTGTTAAAAGTGTAACCATCATAAACAAAAGTGTTTAGTATTTCAGTCAGTTATGTGCCATGCGTTATACTTGCATATGCGATCATGTATCTTTCAATACATGACTGACAAGACAGATTTTTTTCTTGAAGTAGGTTGCTATTTCTTTCTGTGGTAGACTAGTTGCCATCCAAGGCTAGAGAACCTGGTCTGTCCTGCTATTTGACCATAGCTTTGAAGAGGATTCATACCTTTCCCAAGGGCATTAGCACATAAGTGAATGTAACGGATTCAACTGGAATTCGAACTTGGCTCTCCAATTCCTCAATCCGAGCCATTATCCATTACTCCACCTTACCTAGATTAATATACACCTGATGAAGGCTGGATCTCACAATATCAACAATGAGGACAACAGTCCAAATGTAAATAGTGTAAATACTAATACATTTATTCAAAAAGGAAGATGCTATAAATGGACTCAGAAAAGCCCAAATAATGAAACACAAAATTGACTTCATAATTGCTGACAAGACAGTACTATTAAAAGTGTAACCACATAAACAAAGTTAATATATGAAGCAATCATAGAGTGGTAGGTTGCAGAGTTAAATTTAACTTCAAAATTGAAAGAAGCAGAATTAATCTCAAATAAAAAATATACATATCCTAATAAGGTCAGAGAAGACATTACCAAAATTCAGGTAGAATTCAAGAAAGATGAAAATAAGATAGGAAATATGAATAGCAAATTGGTAACTATAATTATGGAAGCAGCAGAGATAGTAGGAAAAATATATGGAAATAGCAAACAAAGGGAGAGAATTCAAAAAGACTCCAATTATACAGTGCCTGATACAAGGATGGAACCAGAACTGTCTACTGCTAGTGAATTTAAAGTGTTGGGTTGTAAACTTGGTAACATAGCAATGGATATTCATAGTATATTATTATTGTATTAAATTATATTATTATAATATATTATTCATAGTAGTGGATTAAAGTATTGGTTTGTAAATTTGGTGACAAACTAATCTCTGAGCAAGGCAGTATCTATTTGAACGCAGAGAGGAAACTGACGAGCAATAACCAAGTAGTTCAAAAATAACAAGAAGAGATATTCCTAGACATGGAATGAGAACAGTCTATCCCCGTAGATTAAATAAAGGGTTCAGTTCAGAATTCCCTGTAGGTTACCCAGATCAATATACAGCTGGGGAAGGCTGGAGAGCACAATGGCCAAAACATTGTGATATCAACAACAAAGATGAGGACATTATACTGCATATAAATAGTGTAAATAAAATATTATTAAACACACACACACATTATATATCTCATAGAAGCAGTTTCTATTATTACAGCAATTTGCATGTTATTCTCAATTCTTTTATTTTGAAAATAAAAAAGACAGGCTTAGAGGAAAGTGGAAATATCCAAACTTACCATTTTCAATGAGAGGTTCTTCACAAAATACACATGTTTGGGAAACTGTATAAAACAAACAAAATGAGAAACTGTCAGAAGATAATTTCTCTTCAAAGGAAGAAAAATAAAATTAAAAAAAAAAAACATTATTATTGCAAATTTAGTGAAAGCATGAAACAAAATCATGAGAAGAGTTAAATACCATCCACAAAATATCCACTTTGTCTGTTTCGAATCTGTTTTGTCAATAATCCATAAGTATCTTTCACTAAAATCTTACTGCACCCTTCACGTAAGGCAATCTGGAAAAGAGAAATTCATTTTTAAATTGCAGGAGCAGATGTTTTTCCAAGAAAATTTAATTCAGCATCAGATGGAAAAAAAAAGACAAAGTACAAAAAAAGGAAAAAATGAAAAAAGGGATGAAAAAGGAAGAAAAGGAAGAAAAAAAAAAGAAAAAACAAAAAAAGAAAAAAGGAAGAAAAAGGAAAAAAAGGAAAAAAAGGAAAAGGGATGGAGAAATGAGAAACGGCAATGAATGCATTTCAAAAAATTAACCAAAAGTGAATACCTAAAGAATCATGGTTAGGTATTTAGTTTTCAGTTTTTGTTTCTTTTACCTGCAGTTGATAATCCTGAAGAATCTTGACAAGTGAATCACGCAGTTTTGGAATCTTCATGCCTTTTTGGATTTTTTGAATGAGAATTATGGGATCAACATGAGTTCCAATATTCTGTAACAAACCAGTAATGAAGCCTATGGAATAGAAAAGGAAAATATTTGTGATTTATCAAAGAAATGTACAAGAAAAGAGATGAAATGTTATTATTTTTAGATTATTTACACTATTTACATTTGGTCTATTATCCTCATCTTTGCTGTTATTATCTCAACGTTTCGGCAGTTGTGCCCTCCAGCCTTCTTCAACTGATTTGACTTGATTGATTCATTTTTCTATGGTTTATCAACCTTTTACAGGTTATTTAAAGTCTGAAAATATTTTTAGATTGTAAGGTTTTTTTTTGTATTTTTTTTTTTACTTAGAAATATAGATTTAGTGATACAAGTCTTAGTAATTCCCCGATAGCTTAGAGAGATTTAGATTTAAAACTTTCCCAAGGGTAATATTTTTGGAGATAATGATTAAGTGATACGTAACAGGAGAGAAGAAGAGGTGGATTCATGCCTTTCCCAAAGGTATTTGTGCACAAGTGAATATAAACAAACCAACTGGAATTGGTACTTGGCTCTCCGATCAACAATTCTGAGCCATTATTATTTACACCAACTACACATCCGAGCTTATGGCAACTGGTATTCCCAAGTGGTCACCCATCTCGGTACTGATCAGGATCAACACTGCTTAACCGGAGATTGTACAGGAAGTGGTGTTTCAATGTGATGTGGCCATAAGCCTTCATCAAATAAACCCTTTATTTAATTTATGGAGTGGGGGTAAACTGTTCTCATTCCACTTCCCATGTGTAGATTAAATAAAGGGTTCAGTTTAGAATTCCCTGTATGTTACCCAGATCGATATACACCTGATGAAGATCAGTAAGTTATGATAGTGACAATAAAGATAAGGACAATAGTCTGAATGTAAATCGTGTAAATAATGATAACTCTTCATTCCATAAATTTAGACAGAAATTGTTTTTAGATAGTTGTCATTTATTTGCTGCTGTTGTTGAACATATTTTCCTGATCACTTTTTAGCAAAATAATCTGATTTAATTTTTTTACATGTCAACATTTGCTGAGATTTAAACAATCTCCACATACCCAAGGGAGATTTGTCAATTTTGTGACATTTTCTGATTAAATTTTAAACAATTTTTGTTGATTGACACAATAAGTATATGATTGATATACTTTTTAAAAATATTTCACTGTGTTTTTATTACAATAAATGTTATTTTTAGTGTTTGAATTTCTATCCCTGTCTTATTTTATTAAACAGTGAAATTGATAACAATCAGCCTAAAATCTTACTGTTTAATCGATATATAAAATTCTGTGACTTCTGCTAGTCCATCTGTCTGTCACACCCTCTAAAATAGCCATACATTGACTGACTGAAACCAAATTTTGGAGAGAAGTGCAAACAGGTAAAGGGGTACAAAGTACAATTGGTTTTACTAAGGTGCATAGCTTAGTACAAATTTTCATTAACTTTTTTGGGAAAATTAAGTTTTCTTATTTAACATACAAAATACTCTTACTATTTTGAAAACAATTTAATGATTAAAATAACAAATACTTATTTAATAAAAATGGAACATTGTTTTTGCATCTTTTTTCTTTAAGTTTTTATATACAAGAATCCAGTTTCCAGTTCAGTCTGTGTTTGCCAGAACTATGAACAAATCACAAGGCTAAATGCTTCAAAAAGCTGCAGAAAGAAATATTTTGACTCCAGAAAGAAATATTTACACATGGCCAGCTGTATGATGCATGTTCAAGAGTAAGAAATCATGAGAATATATTCTTCACTGTTAAAAGAAGAAAAAATTAAATTTTCTTAATATTGTTTAACATGAAGTCCTAAAAAGTTAAATTAAAGAAATTATTAAAACATGAAGTAGGGTTTTGTCAAAGTATTTTTTTCAAAAAGCTTGTTCAAATTTTATCAATTGGTTTGCAAAATTCAAAGAAACATATAGTTTGTAAATCTTGACAAAAAATGTTAGCGATAACTTCAATACTAAATACTGTAAGGATTTCAACAAAAAAAATTCCAGTAGAATAAAAAACAGGGATAGCAATTCAAATATGTGGACTTACTAAAAATAATGTTTATAGTAAGAAACAATGTCAGATAAAAAATTCTTTTTTTAAAAAAGAAATTCATTGTTTACAAAATAGTTTCTATTTATTAAGAAAATATTGAATCTAAAAAATTATTTTATTAAAATCTAAATGATCTTTTTCTCCACATATTGTTTTATGAATACCATTTTTTTTTCTCTACTTGGCTTAACATTTCAGTTTAGTAAGGTTTTAAACAAGAATAATTTGTCTTATAAAAAAACTTTAAAAAATGTTTAATTGGAAACAAAGAAGTTTAAAGACAACTGAAATTCTTTTACCTGGTTTGTCAATGGAAAAAGTGATGAGATCATCCCACAAATCTTTGTCATTTTGTTCTTTACAAAAATCAATAGCTTTCTGGACATTGTCCAATTGCTCCATTATTACCTTCAGTGCTCCTTTTGTGTCACCCATTTTATCTGAGAGGAGTGGAGAAGAAAAAAGAAGTCATAAATGCAATTTGAATTCCTGACATTTGGAAGTACTAAAAAAATATACCATTAACAATGATATTAGCTCCAAAGAAAAAAAAGAGTACTGAACTTTTATGTAAGATGCCTTCCGAAAGTCAAGCAAAGTATTAAGAAACAGAAAAATAGTTAGAAACTAAGAAAAGAGTACAGTACTGTTATGTAGTATCAGTCCTCCTATATGGCAGTAAAAGCTAGACAATCTCCGCACAAATGAAGCAGAGACAGAAATGTGTTTCTACAGAAGGATGATGAGAATACCATGGACTAAACATAATTAAATTTTTAACTAAAAGTAAGAACCTTAAAGTTAATGTTTTTACTCAACCACTTTACCCTTCAACATGCCCAGAGAGTGTTAAATTATCCAATATCTTTCCTTATTGGGTGTCTCAGAAATTTCAGAACTCCTATATAGCAATGAATGCTGGACAATATCATCATAGATAAAGAAGGGACTTGAAGCAACCGAAATGTGGTTCTACAGAAGGATGCTGAGGATACAATGAATCAAACATATGAGCAATGAAAGTTTTAGAGAAAATGGAAATAAAAAGGACACTTATACTTAACATCAGAAAGAGATAATTGAAATTTCCAGGATACATAATGAGGAAAGAGGGCTTGGAAAATTTGATACTCACAGGACATATCCTATCTAGCAAGCTTGAACAAATGGATGGCAGAACAAGGTTTAGGAGAGATAACAAAAAGACAAAAATTATTAAAAGCTACAAAGGAGAGGAAATTGTGGAGATCTATGATTGCTAAAATCTTGAAGGGATGCAACACGTAGAAGATTAAGTTGGCACAAAAATAAGTGCAGGTTGACAGCCACAAAGGATAAAAAAAGTTGTGACAAGCCATGATCACTTATGCCTTGAAGGGATACGGCACACAGAAGTAGTCATCTAGCACCACATCAACAGAAAAGCAAAAGGATTGTCTATGTTCCTGTTGTGAAGATCAGCATTTAATTGTTTTTTTGTTTTTTTTTAATCAAAGTTCAAACATAAATCCCTCATGCCAGTGTGAAATTCACAACAACCTCAACTACCAAGTAGTCATAAATTATAAATCATTGACTTGGTTTGACCAATTTTTTTTTCATAGTCTTAAGATTAGAAATTAAAATAAAGCTACTGTTCACTTAACCACCAGATTCTTTTCCAATGACCTGATTGGTTGCTAAGTGAGAAGCTGTACATGACCATTATTACAGGCAATGGAGGAATTCACAAAAAACAGTCAAACATTGGCACAGATGTCAAGCTACTTGATATTCATATACAGATATAGAAACTTAAAGCTAGTTCCAACAAACTTATCAATCAAGACTGTCAGTTCCAGGAGAATACAAAGCATAGTGGAAAGAGCAAGGCAGGTCATTTGAACTCTCAGAATAAACAAGGACATTCCTTAGCAGAAAAACACTTCTCCAAAACTGTTCCAAGAAGGAAAATACAATAAAGAATTTAAATATTGTCAAATAAAACAGTCCAAATTTAAATATTATAAATACAGATAACTCCTCATCCTAAAAATACAGAGAAATTTTAAAAAAATGTTATTTTAAATTCTGTCAAAAATTTAATGTTATCATGGGAACACCTCTCAGTCTTATCCAGGTTGACTTTGGTCAGATCCTAAGTCATCTAAGGAAACCTGTAGAACATGACTTAACCACTTATGTCTTCTTCTAGTGATAAACAGATAGAATGGAAGAAAAGGTTTTCCAAAATAAGGTGCCACCAATTAGACATTTTTCAGAAAAAAAAGTGGGGTTAGATAAGGAAGATAAATTTCAAAATTCCATTATGAAACATTTATAAATCTTAGAAGTTCTGGAGAAATCAGATCTCGTTGGATAATGAGGTTTGTCTAAATAAAGCCAAAGAAATGAAAACAAATTTCAGACATTTTACTTAGAGAGTAGATTTGATTGAATAAATATAGCATTTTTTTTTATCTAAAAGCACAAGATCTATATATTAAGCTTGTGACTGACTCATTGTTCCATTTTTGAAGTATTATCAAATTTTTTCAGGTTATTCAAAGCTCAAAAATTTTTGAACTGTAATTTTATTTTATTTGCAAGTGAATATGGCATCAATTTTTAGGAGATAATGATTTTCTGATACGAGTCTTACTATTTAACCTATAACTGGGGGAGGAGAAGAGGTGGATACATACCTTTCCCAGGGATATTTGTGTGTATATAATGACCCTGACTGAAATTCGAACTTGGCTTCCCAATTTCTCATTTCTACCCATTATCCAGTTCACTACCTGCTTACAGGCACAAGCTTACAGAACCTGATATTCACAAGTAGTTAATCACCTAGCAACAAATCAGTCTTTGAAAATCAGGGAGAAAAGTATAGTCAAGAATTAACATTGACAATACAGGATGGTTATTTATAATTGTCATGGGTCCTTACCTATAACTACAGAATGAACTCTTCCTAACACTATGTATACTATGCCTCTCAAGAGAGAGGGTCAAATCGAGTCGAACCGATAGTAGTTCACTCCAAACCAGACTGACAGTTATACTAAAACCTTCCACATCTTGTATTATTATTTCGTCTAATATACCTTTGTTATTTCTACTGTTGTGTTCTTGTTGATCTTTCTTGGTCCTAACCTGGACCATAACAATAATGTAAATGACTCATTCCATATGACCCAATTTTATAAAAATTTCTCACAACCCAAAAAACCTATTATGTTTGTGTCTCCTAAACATTGCAGGTAATCTTACGATAGAGATTTATTGTAAATTAGATAAATAAAAGAGACTACAATAGTCAACAATTAATACCAACATCACTGATGGAATAAGTATAATATAGGCACCAATGATTTATATAAAAATAATAATACACTGACTTGCGGATTAAGTTGCCAGAATTTGGGACATTGGGATCTATACCAGAGTTAAAAATTCCTACATTGAGAAAATTGGAATAAAACCTAGCGTCCCATCACTGCAGAAGTCTGCATTTCTTAATACTGCATATATTCTGCCAAAGGTGCTCTCTGCCTGAGTATGTATGACTTGATGAAGAATACTCATAATGCAATATTGCCAGTTGAAACAAAAACCGTGCAAAAAAAGACAATAATAAAAAGACAACTTACTGAGAAGAAATACTTGCTCAGGCAAAAATTTTCGATTTCTGCATTCTTCAAGTGCTTTTTGTAGAGGGCAATGCGTACTGTTCTTTAAAAGTGGAAGTAACTTTTCTCGGTCATATTCAGCATACAATTTGATTTGGAGCGCATGGTATTCTTGTCCAAGCTGAGGATCTTTTTGGAATAACTTATCTAAATACTACAAGAAAAAAAAAAAAGGAAGAGCATTATAAACTGAAAGCAAAAATCAATTTGGATATATTATCCTTATTTCAACATGTTTATATCAAACTGAGATTTTATTATTAAATATCACTTTATTTTCTAAATTTTCTTATCAGAGTTTCAAGGACAATATTGACACTATTTTTAATTGCTAGTGTAAAAATCATGAATCAAAGAATAGCTTCTGACAGGATCAACTCTCAATCAATTTTGAGAGTTTACTGGGATGACTTGACCAATTTGGACCAAGTTAAGTCTATAGTCAATAAACATTTCTTCTTTTCCAATTCTTTAAACAATATTGGTTGCTTACTACTTATTAATTATTACTTAAATTCTGAAAACATATTTTCATTATTAATTTAAATATTTTATTGAAATAAAAAAATAGTTGTTTTCAGGCACGATAGCAATATTTTAGAAGCAATTGAGTCATCATCAGTTTTTTCAAATGTCAACACATTATTGATGCATTGTATTTACAAGGCCCAACAGATCTTTCATTGTTGTCAGCCAAGTGAGTCACATGTCTACCAGACAAAGCCCTGTGACCAACATCTGCAAGAGGATGACATTTCTCATTTTTTTGTTTTAAAGATGCTATCATGGGAGCACCTCTCAGTCTGATCCATGTTGACTTTTGTCAGATTCTAAGTCATCTAAAAAACCTGTAGAACATGACTTAACCACTTGCATCTTCTTCTAGTGATAAACAGAATGGAAGAGAAGGTTTTCCAAAATAAGGTGCCACCAAATATTTGTTTTTGGCAGTTTGTCTGGTGCTGGAAGATATTGACACTCTGCCAAGACTGTGAACTGGGGGGACACAGTGGCTATAGTGGGCTCAATGTCTTTATGTGATGAGATTTAGCAGTAGTTTCCCTTTCATTTGGCCTGCAAAGTCTGTTGCATATATTTGTGATCAAATACATCAATATTATTTTCATCTGCTCAACACAGTGGTGCACATCAATAAAACAAGATGGAATGAACCACTCCAATGTAAAGACTCAGGCTTAGATCTAGATTAAATTATAGTGTAATTGTTATTCTTCTTCTTCTACATATAGTATTGTTATTCTTCTTCTTCTACATATAGTATTGTTATTCTTCTACTACATATAGTATTGTTATTCTTCTTCTACATATAGTAGTTATTCTTCTTCTACTACATATAGTATTGTAGTTATTCTTCTTCTACATATAGTAGTTATTCTTCTTCTACATATAGTATTGTTATTCTTCTTCTACTACATATAGTATTGTTATTATTCTTCTACATATAGTAGTTATTCTTCTTCTACATATAGTAGTTATTCTTCTTCTACATATAGTATTGTTATTCTTCTTCTACTACATATAGTATTGTTATTCTTCTTCTACATATAGTATTGTTATTCTTCTTCTACATATAGTATTGTTATTCTTCTTCTACTACATATAGTATTGTTATTCTTCTTCTACATATAGTATTGTTATTATTCTTCTACATATAGTAGTTGTTATTATTCTACATATAGTAGTTATTCTTCTTCTACATATAGTATTGTTATTCTTCTTCTCAGTTTCTCTTTTGAGTTACTTAACTGACAATTGAGAAGACAAAAATCATAACTAAAAAGAAAATTGAATAAGATTCAATGTAGAGCAATTGGCCATTAAATGCAACTGGCAGAAATGGCCAACAAACAGAATTAACAAATTTTACAATAAATAATAAAAGAAAGAAAAGAACAGGGTAAAAATTAATACTAAACAAACAATATATGTAAAACAAAAGTAGGCAAAGTAACAGTAAAAATCCAAAAAGATCACAAAGAATGACACACAAAAGGGATACAGACAAGCGATCACAGCATTCTGACTTCAAAACAAGAAAGAACAAAAATATAACAGATGAGATTGAGAAGTGAGCTATCTTATTGGCTAGGAAGAAATCCCAGCATGCATCTATATGATTTTTTTTATTAATACATATGGTTGCAACACCCAACACAATTTCAATAATGCCATTTTGCATATATTATTTTTTAATACATTAATCAGAATAATATTGGCAACACATATTTGTGTGTCTAATACTTTTGCCATTTAGGAGACAAAAATAGATAGAATAATTTTTGTCATTACCATTTAATATTATGATTACTTATGACAGTGTTTCCCAAACTTTTTTCTCTGTGCCGCATTTTTGGAATGAAAATTTGCTCGCGCCTCACCAAATTTTATGTGATAAAAAGTAAACTTAAAAATAAAACACAGAGAGAGGGTTAAAGGGAGATAACTGCGGATTTGAAGTCAGAACATTATTATTGATAACTCTCTCCTCCAATTTGCACACCCTATTAATACTTGATATAATGCAAAAATATCACAATGATAAATTCAGTCAATAATTATTTATAACTATTTATATTGGGACTCATGCAATTACAACTAATCCATAATAATATTTTCAATTTTGAAATCATATTTATTTTTGGCATCTGTCTATATTTCTGAGATGAGGTATTATGTACATTATTTACATTATTCGAACTATTGTCCTCATCATTGTCATCATATTTATTACATCAGCGTTATTGTACCTCCAGGCGCTTCTTCAGGTGGTTGGAATGACCGAACTGAACCCTTTATTTCGCTCACTGGGGTAGACTGCTAAACATGGCACATGAAACTAGAACAGTCTACTCCAGTGAGCGAAATAAAGGGTTCAGTTTGACATTCCAACCACCTGAAGAAGGCTGGAGTGTACAATGGCCGAAACATTGTTATTTTTGGCATATGAAGTTTTTGAAACTGTTTCTAAATCTTTGATTGTTTTTCAATCATCTGTCACACCCATGAGGCCTGCCACACTGTTTAGGAATCACTGACTTATGATATCAAAATATGGGTCCTCAATATGGGTTTCTTTTTCATACTTCTCACTTATGGTTTCTTGCTTCCCTGTTCCCTACGATCTTCAAAAATTTAAATGCAACATCAATTGTCATCTTCTGTCTTCCTGAATTTTCTTCTTCATCTTCACTAATGTTTTCTCAGTTCCTTTTACTCTCAGTCTTCGTGGCATTATCGTAAAAAAAATAAAAAAAAAATAACAATAACAGTATCATCATAAAATAGGAAATATTTAATAACTTTATTTAAAAAGTTGACATTAATATATTTTTATGAAAATAATATTCACTTACACAGTGTAAAAGTTCAGGAGATTGTTCCAATTGCTGTACAACTTTTTTTATCTGAAAAAGAAAATAGTGAAAGGATGAGAAGAAGTGTAAGAAGTGGAGGAAATAGAATAGCAGAAAATGGGAGGAGGACAGTGGTGGGAAGAGGAGGAAAGAGAAAAAAAAACCCAATTACAATAATACAAATAGAGAAAGAAAAGTTATTTTTTTTAAAAAATGTCGAACACGTCAAAGAAGAGTGAAGGAAATTGCAAAATACAAATTGACTTCATAAAAAAAGTTCATTTCTCTCTCTCAAAGGGAAATAACTGTTTCACTGGTATGTTTTTGCATGTGTTTAAAGGAGTCCTAATTGAGCTATGGTCGGGTAGGTGTAACGTAAGTCATCTAGATAAGCATGTAGTAGTGTGACTGATGTAATTATTTATAAGTTTGGTTTGATCAAGAACATGGTTCCTTAAGGACATTTGAACTCGTAAATAATGTTGGTTCTTTGTAGTTTTATTTATATTTGGACTACTTTCCTCATCTTTGTTGTTGTTGTTAACATATTTCAGCTGTTGCACCCTCCAGCATTCTTCAGACGTATATCAATCTGGGTAAGCTACAGAGAATTTTGAACTGAAACCTTTACTTAATCTATATTCTCATTCAACTACTCATGTCTAGGGATATTATCTGGTTCTCATTTTTTATTTAGTACTGCTCAGTCATTGCTCACCCATTTTCACTGAGTGCAAGTAAACACTGCCTGATTCAGGGATTGAACTCACAATAACTATGTCACCAAATTTACAAACCACTTTCATTCACTAGGCTAAAACCTAACCTGCCTGCTGATTAGTGCTGTTGCTGCTGCTTGCTCTCACTGAAGCTTTTTTCTTTTCTTACAGCTGCTGCTGCAGAATGTAAATATTTGCTTTAATAAAATTCATTGGTAAAACATTGTTTTACAACTTCTGTTTAGAAATAAAGCTATTTTGTTTCCATTTTCTATTTTTATCACATGGTTTAAAATAAAAACATTAAAAAATATGATACATTTGTAAGCCTGTAAAGAACATGTATGGAAAGAAACAAATTATATTCTATTTCCAGTATAAGTTTAAAATTTTTTACATTTTCATTATTCCAGAGGAAATTTTTTTTTTTCTAATTCAATACAATATGAGTAATTAGAATAAAAGATCTTGTATATATATATATATATATATATAAAAAAAAAAAACCTTTAGTAACCAAAAAGAATTGATGCATCAACATAATGGATTTTTATAAAAAGGGGGATTATTTTGTATCAGAGTTATTTCCCATACAAATCACATCTAGCAGTGAGTTACCTATAATATCCCAAAAATTGAATTATTCATTGAAACAAAATTATTTCGGAGGAAAAAAAATTTCTCGTAAGGAATTTAAATTCAATCTCTCATAATCTGTTTAGCGCAAATTTATTCAATATGTGTCATTAGAATAAATGGGTAATTTAAGAAAATGTTACTCAGACAGAAATGGATAGCTACAAAAAAAGGAGGTTAATTTATTCAATTCTAACTTTGCATCAGAGTTATCTACCTTGTTAATCGTATCGAACATCGAGTTACCTTTCCTTGAATATAAATCCACCGGCAGCAGATACTGAGTTATCTATCCTTGATATTTACGAATCTGCTAACCGTTAACGGAATGGAGTTTCTCATGTCCATTCTATAGAAAAATACATATTCTTAACAATATAAGAATAAAAAAAAAAGCCTGTAATACTTACAGGTATTTTGCCTATATTATCAAGAAGCAATTTGACAGCTTTCTCCTGATCAAATTGCATCAGTTGGACGATTCGGTCAGTGATAGAATCAAATAAATTGTGTTTGTTGATCAGAGAGAAGACATCTTTATGCTTCATCCTATTCATAAAAAAAATAAAGAAAGGTTACAAAACGCATATCAAATAAGAAAAATGAAAAAGAAAGATCTTAAATCAAGTTTGATTTTGAACAAATTATTTAGTCATGACATTTTCTCTCTCTACTGCCACATATACCTGAGGTACAAACTCTGGAAGCTGTTCACTCAAAAGTAATTTTTTTATTAAGTGCCATACATGACACATGTTTGACCAATTATGTAACTTTTTATTCATGACTGACTAGGTAGAAGACTTTTTATAGAAAGCTGACGTTTCTTTCTGTGGTAGACTGGTTACCAACCAAGGCTACAGGACCCAATCCATCTTACTATCACAGGAGTTTGAGGATTCTTATAGACCCCTGAACTTAAATAAAATCAATTCAGGTTTGCTATGATAAAAATTTTCTATCCCAAGTAAAAATCATCACAAAAATGGCAAAAGTCATTTTGACACAGCTTATTTTAATGGATTTTCATACTTTTATAGGGGTAAAATATTGAAAAATGACTGTTTTATCATCACCTAAACAAATATCAAGGAAACTTTTGATCTGAGCCCCATGAAACTAGGTATTTCCTGAAAGCAAAGGATATATTCTTTCATTTAAAATTAAAATTGGCTGGTGTAAATGACTCAAATTTTTTTTTTCTATCTCCTCAAACAAGACCCTCTCCTTTGGCATAGTGTTATTTGGGTTCCTTTCCACCCAGAGACAGAGAGTTTGACAAGATAGGGAGAGAAAGAGAAAGCTTCCTCCTCATCCTCAAGAATCCCACTGCTTGCATTCTCTCATGAGGATTTTATTATATCAGGTTGCTGCCAATCAGCACATGGGACCAGTTTTAAAAGCAGAACACTTTAAGCACTTTTCTTATGTTGCCCACCTGTTACCAGTTTGAGATATGAGATTTTACTTTTTTTTCTGCTGCAAAAAATGCCACTTCAAGTCTCTTCGATCTCTACGGTAATTCTTTACTACAGTAATTTGATAAGAAACTTTATGGTTTTTATGACGTTCAAGTATGTGCTACTGATTCAAAACAAAAATGATACTTCAAGAATCAGTTGAAGACATCCTTGACACAGGTCAACATTGACTATTGACCCTAAAACTTGGGAAAGTGTTGCTGCAAATTGACCTTCCTAGCATAGGACTATCAGGGGTGGTGATCAAGACTTTCAAGCCTAACTGTCAACATTAATAGGATATGTGACATGCTGTCAAGAAAGCCTGACTCTTGCCCAGCGGCATCCACTACCCACACTCCTCTGTGACTACTGATTCTTCAGAAGTAAGCTGGGCTTTCACAGCCATCTCCACCACAGTCACCAGAGAGGAGAAAGGGAATAAAGAGAGAGGATAACAATCATGATGCTTGGATGCAAGCTGGTGTTGATGACTACTACTACTGATTCAAATCAGGAAGACATTAGTATTAAGACATTGTACCATAAAATTCAAGTGAAAATTTCCAATTTATTGTCCTAATCATCTGATGAAGTCTTTCAAATTTCACTTTCAGAGTTGGACCCTGCAATTATTTTCTCTGTGTGAATCCTAATTCATAATTTTTTTATCTGATGGTCTTTTTGTGAACTTGTTTCTACCTTCAGACAAGACATGGACTGACTAGGATTTTACTGCAGTACTTGGAAATCTTTTTATTACTATCTGGCATAATTTCTGTTCTCTCTGAATTCATTGCTTTTTTTCTTTTAATTGTTCACCCAATACAAGGCCAAAGAGCCACTCATGGTAGAGGATTACTGAATGCCATTGTTTCATGGACATAAGAGAAGGAAGTAAGTATAATTTATGAAGGATAGGTAATAGTTGACCTTAGATTTGAACAGCTTAGTGGTTGTAGTAATCAAAGAAGCATCATCTTGGGAGTTTGTTCCCCAGAGTAGCAGTTCTCAAGAAGTAGCTGGAACTTTCTTCTTACCAATGGAATATGAAATGAATGAGGATGATTCAACTCAGTGTACATGGCATAACGAGTCCTAGCAGTAAAGGTCTGAACTAGTGGAACTAAGGAATGTAGCTCATAGGAACATTTATCATGGGAACAGTGATTGGCTTCCAGCATTTTTGGAAATGTGGCTGCCATTTGAAATGCATTACCTTGGTTACTTTGAAATACTGCATAAACCTGGCACCATTTTTGAACAACAGAAACTAAGAAATTAAATATTTGTTCTTTGGGATTCAGCATAATTGATTAAAAAAAATTAATAAAGGGCATCATTATCATCATCATTTAAGTGTAGTCAGAATAATTGAGCCAATGTGAACAATCCTTTCTTTAGATATGTGCTATATCAGGGATACATACAGTTTTGAATTCAGAGTTACTTTCTCCTAGACTGGCTGCTACCCAAGGTTATAGAACCCAGTCTGTCTTGCTATTTAACCATAGCTGGGAGGAGGAGAGGATTCCTACCTTTCCCAAGAGTATTAGCACATAAGTGAATGTAATGGATCTGACTGGAATTCGAACTCAGCTCTCCGATTTCTCAATCCGAGCCACTATCCATTACTTCACTGTGCCTCCTATAAAAGGAATACACAAGATCTGTCATGCTTTGATAACATTAAAGTTACAAGAAAGCACCTTTCAACAAAAATAACATTTGAAACAAAAATTAGGAGAAGAAATACGTAAAGGGTAAGCACACAGTTCATTTCTATTCTTAAATATTGTCAAAAATTAAATATTTCAATGAAATATATGTACAACATTAAGATAAAATGGCACAACTTTAAAGAAAAAAATTTACATAGGGATGAGTGTACTACACAGGGTGTTGTATTATGCTCAAGGACATAATTTATTGTCTTCAACTTCAGAAACATGGTGGGTTTTTATTATACACAAGAAAATGTAGTAATTATAGGTTTCATCCATTTTTGGAATAGTGGGCATTAATGGATTAAAAAGAAAAAAAATTCTTTACTCACCGGAGGAAGATTGCCAAAGCTTTGTCAAATCTATTTTGGAAAGTGTATCTATAAAGAAAAACAAATGGAGTTTATAAAGGAGCAAGTATTGCGGAGAGCAACAAAATACAGGAAGTTGTGGACAGCCATGATCACCAATCACCAGAAAAGAATTGATACAGAGAAAGAGAGATCCCCAAACAAAAATAAAACTTGAACATAACAATACAGTGTCTTTTTAATAAATCACTGAAACACACAAATATTTCTGAGACAAAGATTTGTCAAAAATTAGAGAGAGAGGATGGAATGGTTTTGCTCTGTCCCATTCAACTTGATGACACATGACATAATAGGTACAGAGGGAGTGTAGCTGTAGCAACAATGGCACACAAAAAAAATTTAACACCACCTGACAATAGATTTATAGTTGGAATTGGTTTTTTTTACGGTAAAATCAACCTCAAATGGGTTATTTAATGTTGACAAGATTTTTATTGTTGGTATATATATTTTTTTTTTTTAATCAAATGTATTGCTGGTAAAATTTTTTTCCTTCAAAAATCTATTTCTGGTAATATTTTTTCTTGTATCACTTGTAATTTTTTTTTTCAGAAAAGTATAGCTGGTAACATCTTTTTTTCAAAAATGTATTGCTGGTAATAATTTTTTTCTTCAAAAACTTATTGCTGGTAATAACTTTTTTACAAAATATTTCTGGTATTAAAACCTATTTCTACACTTTCATAGTTTACGGGTTAACTATTTGCCCATAGCTGGGACCCTAACAGGTGCTACCACCCCAGGTCAGGGTGGACCTTGGAACACCAGCAATTATGAGGTGGTTCCACACTCCTCAAAACCTCCTGATCAGAGGCTTTGCTGTTGGACGTAGTTTATCGTCTTACCCAGGACGGGTTAGAATTGGAAAAATGGAGCACTATTTATGAAGTGGTAAACAGTTTTAGGTTTTTCTTGGACAACAAGGATATACCAGGGATATGTGAACCCCAGATAGGTATGAAACTGAAGGCACCAACAGTCTATACAAGAATGGGATTACTGGCAATTGGCAAGGATAATAATCACAACAAAAGGAAATTAGAACATTGTATTACATCAGAATTCAACTTTGCTGCTGCTCAACCCACCAGTCAACACACTGTAAAGCATATAATATGTTCCATGTTATTTTAGATTTATTATCAGTCAATGATACTATTATTGACACTGCAGGTAAGAGAGCATTACCAGTGAGCCTGGGAAGACTGGCATAGTGCGGTCTGGTTAAACAAATCATATTTCTAGCTGTTTTAGATAGTCGTGTTTGAGTATGAAGGAAACTGCATACAACTTTGGTTCCATCCTATTTGCAGGGTGTTTTTTTTTCTTTATAATAGTTCACCCAGTACGAGGCCTAAAAGCCACTCAAGGTAGAGGGTTACTGTGTAGTGTTGTACAAGAAGGCAAAAAGTGCAGTTCATGTGATTATGTAAAAAAGACAACAATCATAGACCTGAAGAAGTTAAGATCATATGAATCAGGAAAACATCCTACCAGGAGTCAGTTTCACAAAGCAGCAGTCCTTGGGAAGAAGCTATCCAAGTGGAACTTCCTTTTTACTAATAGAATATGAAGGGAGATGAGGATGATTCAACCCTGTGAATGTGGCATGGCAGGTTCCAGCTGCAAAGTTCAGGACTAGCAAAACCAAGGAATGTAACTTGTCAGAATATTTACCATGAAAATACTGATAGAGTAGCGAGAGGCTTGCAATGTTTCACCTTTGGGGAAAAGGGGTTGTAGGATAGAAAATAATTCATCACTCACAACGCTGTGTAGACACTTTTGATCAAGACAGGCAAGTAAGACTGAGCAGCTTCAGCCCAGATATGTCAGCAATATTCTATTCTATGTCTGATTTGGCTCTTGTAAAGATAAAATGTAATGTTGTGCAAGCTGAGGGTATTTCTAAAATTGTGTAGGATGTGTCTGATAAAGTTCATAAGGACAAAAGTAAAACCGGAATTTGTCTTTATAAATGTGACACAGATCTTATTGCAGACCATTTGGTCTCCTTTATGTTCACCATGTTTCTAGCTGGAGATGGTCAGGTCCAGCAAGATAATAAAACACATTGCATGCAAGTAACTTGAAACTTGTTCCAAGTAATCCTCTGGCATCTGTCCTGACCAGATTAAAACTCTGAGGAGCAGGTACTCTTGTGTACCAAATTCAAGTGCTGGCACAATTAAATTATTTCTTTGAATTTTCTCCCCGGCATGGTGCTTATTTGGTACAGCACATATCATTTTCCAAATAAAGATTTTGTTCCAGGAATCATGCTGTATCAGAAAACATGACTTCTCCATTTTATTTGGATCAGCAAAATTATATTCCAAGTTGAAAAATTTCCACAAACATGAGTATTCCTGATGGCACTTGTATTTAGTACAAAACATGTAAAACTCGCAAAATTCTTTACAACCCAATGAACAGAACTTAGTTATGAATAGTCCTTGAATGTAGCAGGATAAATATACCTATGCAATATAACCAGAGCATACTAAATTGCATTCTTTGGTTTTAATTGATTGATTCATTTTTTTAATGGATTATCAACCCTTTGCAGGCTATTTAAAGTCTGAAAATATTTGTACAGAGTAAGAATTGTTTTTTAGATAATGGTTTAGTGATACAAGTCTTACTAATTAACCCATAGCTGAAGAGAGAAGTGGTGGAGTCATACCTTTTCAAAGGATATTTGCATGTAAGTAAATATAACGAGCCCAACAGGAATTGGAACTTGGCTCTTTCATTAACAATTCTGAGCCATTATCCATTACACCAGCTGCACATCCAAGCTTGAAGAAACTGGTATTCACAAACTGTCACCCATCTAGATACTAACCATGCTCAATGTTGCTTAACTCGAGTGATCATTCAGGAACTGGTGTTTCAAGGTGATGTGGCTATAAGACTTCTTTGATTTCAAGATTTGGTATTTACAGTAAAATTTATATAGTTTATAGGATTTTATTTTTCATTTTTTAGTCATGATGTGGTTGTATATAGCATAGTTTGGAATTTGTTTTCATGTCTGTATTTGGAAATGAGCTTTTATCATTTGTTTAACTTGTTCTGGAAAGGTAATTACTGTTATTTTCTTCTCTTGGAAAAGATCAGTGTCTTAAAGTAAGCTGATACTTTTAAGTATTTATTATTAACAAAAATAGCCTACCTAGAGTAATATCACCTTGGTGCTTTTCAAAGTACACTTATTAAAACTTACTCCAGTAGCCTGTTTATTTTTCAAATTAGTTTGTAATGTGTTCGTTTGAGATTGGCATCAACTGTCTCAAATTCTCCTTGTCCACTGTTTCAAATCTCTTCTTTTCAAGAAAGGTATAGAAAAAAAATGACATGCTTGAGTAATGCAATGTTCAGCCAAAAAAAAAAAAAAAACCCCAAAAAACCTCTGCATGAGGAATGAAGAACAAGTGAGGATATTATCATTATGTGATGGTCACATAGTACACAAGCTCATTCATTTATATCTTCTTGTGACTGGCCTTGAGACAATGCCTGCTCATGCATGTCCTCTACATTTGGTTATCATGGTAAATCATTTAAAAATAACTGGAAAAAAAAAAGAACCACTTCTTGGTTTCATTTCCATATTTTTTTCTTTCTTTCTGACATCAGAACGCTATAATCACTTGACTGTATCCCTTTTCAATGTGAACTTTTTGCCTTATTACTGTTGCTTTGCCTAGTTTTTACTTGCATATATATTGTTTACTTCATATTATTTTAATGTTCTTTTTCTTCCTGTTCTTATTGTTTATTAAGGACTTTATCAATTTTGTTTGTTAAGTATTTTGCCAATTACACTTAACCATGGCCAATTACTCTACAGTTCATTAATTAAAAATGTATATATATATATGGCCCTTATTTATTTAAAATAAATCTTTTTGTAACCCACCTGAGAAAAAGGTTGTTTTTATATTCCAAACAGCTAAGTCCAATAACTCCATAACAGTCAATGATTGATTTGACAATGTATTAATATTATAAACAGGAACCCAATTCTAAATCATTAAAAAAAAAAATAAATAAAAAGTAAAAGATTGATATTTTTCGATCTGACTAGTATTGTGGCTGAAAAAAGGTCTTAAAAAGAAAAATTATTTAAAAAAAAAAGTTTTACCCCAATTTTTTTTTTTTTTTTTTTTTAATCAGTGGACCAGTCTATTTAAGTAATGCTGTTTTCTTTAACCATAGAAAGCCTCACCATAAAAAATGTTTTCATAAAAATTATACTGCTTGTTCTTCTTTATCTCCCTGTAGTTTCACAGCTGTCCCCCAGATGGCAGTGATATTTGCTATCATACGTACTACCACAGGCATTTGTTGTCTGCAGGAGATTTTTTTTCTTTCACTCTGAAGAAATCAATGCCCTTTTATATTTAGTTTCTAAATTGGTATCTAAAATGATACCATAGGCGTCTATGGATTAATAGCTTTCAGTTAAAGGTTATAATGAAGTCAGAAGTGTGAAATTAAATGACAGTCTCCAGTGTTGCAAATTACAATCAAGTTTATGAAGAATTAGGAATCAAACACAAATGATTGAAACCAGAGTTTGGAACATTTCAAATTGTTCTCCAAGTTCTTTTCTTAAAATACTCCAGATCTCAATGTCTACTTACAATTCTCCAAGACACTCCAGGAGGATAAGGTTATTCTTATCACGTTCATATTCATTTCGAAGACGGTTAATTATTGCCTGCATATTGTACAAATTATGTGGCCATGATTTTATCAAACGGAGGAGACCCTGGAATAAAGACAATGAACAATTGTAAAAATATTAACAGAATTAAATCTCTGAATGAATCAAGTGGATCCTAAACTAGAAATTTACATGATTAATCAAAACAAACTTTTAACAGGAAAAAAATTATAAATTTAAAAACAGCAGAGATCAGAAAACTAATGTTAGTAATACATAAATTTTTAATCAGTTGTAAATTTAGCTATATTAATATTTGCTATTA